AAACATAGATATGGAAAGATTCTAGACTCTGAGCAGCTAAACAATTCAATGATCCATAACTAAAACGAATGCGTTTTCGATAAAAAAAATTCTTTGTTTTTAAAAGATAAAGTAACAGACTTTTTAGAATCATTTTATAATAGGAAGGGGAAAAATTATTCCAAAAAGTCGCGGGTAGCCCAAATTCGATTTTGAATAGTTGGGACTTTTAAAAGTAGCTCAATCGTCTACTTGTAACCCAATTTGGCAACATTGGTGGCTAGTTGAAATAATTCATTGTTCAAAAAAAATTTTTTTATATGATGTGTTAAAGTTTATAATGTTTTATGTGTTAAAGAAGCAACAACTGCATCTTCGATTGTCATCGACTTTTGATCTATTCATTTAAATGGTTAAGAGTATTAGAGATCACATTAGAGATCATAAATTCATACTTAATAAAAAAAAGTTATCAAAATCAAACACATTACTATCGAGGAAGATAAAATTAGGAACTCCGAAACCAGTATAACTACTCTATAAAACTTCAATATTTTTTGCTTCATTGGATTTTTACAATCAAACAGGTTTTGATGTTTCCTTCATCTTCATTATTGATTCTTGACGTAATTTTTTCCTCGATTAAATATTTTTACGGCCTGTAACGTGTATATATTTTTATTCCATTTTTGACAAAGGTTCTAAATATTTATTGAAGGCGGGTATTACGTATTGGAATACTCTGTATTAAAAGATGTTGAAAAATCGAATGTTTATAGCTTGTCTACGGTAAGAACTCCCCCTGTTGCAAAGTCTGAGATCGTCTTCTGCTATGGAAACAAGAATAGCGCATTTCCGAGAGGGTAGCTCCTCTTCACTCTAGGGTTAACACAGCAGATCGAAGAAAAATATTCCTTTCTCTCGCCAACCTGAGCCAAAACCTGTCCTAAACATCAGTGACTCTACACCCCTACTTGAAATAGTTATGCCTCGTTACCATAGTCACCGTCACAGAACCAGGCGAATAGCTAGGGGAGTTCTTACTTTAGACAAACTATGCAGATGCTACGAGAGACTTCTCGTATTTTTGAGAAATGGTTAATAATGTATATGTAATAATGGTTAATAATGATACAATTCTATTCCAAGTTTGAATCGTTCAAATATTAGTGTCTAACTATAAAACAAATTTAACGTAGTAATATGATTTAGAATGTATTGGTACGATTTATTTTTTAATAATATTTCAATTATTATTTATTTTATTTGTGGTATAATTATATTTATGGGCTATAACTATGGTGTATGATTATGCTACAATTTGACTGTCCCAACTTGGACACTTTTCGGAACTCAAGCTTTTTAACATTTTTTTAGTACAGTTTAGTTAGCGTAAATATCCTAATTGTAACTTTGAAGAGATGGGCAGGAAAAAAAAAACAAATAAAGAACTTACCGGCAAAGTTTGAAATCGAACACTCTATAGAATGCCTAGGCATTGTATATAATGCTTAAAACTTGCCGGTAATGTATGGAACGATTTATATTTCACACATTTCCTAGGCATTCTATAGAATGCCAGATGAGAAATCGGCAAAGTATAAAATACATCTCATATTCGTTTCGTATATCACGATTTCTCTTAATAAGAAAGGCATAAATTTTGTTTCGTACAAATTTCATTTTTCTTTACGCATTTAGAATAAATTTATTTTAATGGGATTCTCATTATTTTTTCAGAATAAAATTTTTATTTTTGAGGAATGCACATCATTTACATAATAACCTCATCAGGATGTTTTTTTTTTGATACTCTTGCCTAAATAGCATTTGGCATTCTATAGAATGCCTAGGTATCATATACAATGCCTAGGGAAAGTATGTAATACTTTTCATATTTCATACCTTGCCTAAAAAACATCCGGCATTTTATACAATGCCCAGGAATGTGGGCCGGGATAGCCTGGTAGGTAGGGCACTGGGCCCATGTCCAAGAGTTCGTGGGTTTGATCCCCGTCGGCCGAAGTAAATAATGACTGATGCTCATTAAATCCGTCGTGCCACAAAGTCCTCCATGTTCCCCATAACATATCATACCTCTGGAGGTACTGATCCTGGGGGGTACCGTTCCCTTGTCTTCTGGATTGGTTCAAACTTACAAGGCTACGGAGTTGAACATTAGTAGTCGTAAACCCAAAATTGGGTCGTCTGTTCAACGACGGTTATAAAATAAAATAAAATGCCTAGATATTCTATAGAATGGCGGCATTTCACACTTTGCCGGTAACATGTCTACAAGCAATTTTCGCTTCTTACATCATACTCAAAGAAATAAAAAAAGTTAAAATGAAAATAGCATTTATGTAAATGAAACACTGGTTAACTCATTTACGCAAGATAGCGGTTTTGTGTTACCTTCAACGACTTTGTAACCGCTTGAGTATTCGACGACATTCCGACCGCTGCACCTAACAATTTTAGAACCTTGTCACTTTCATCCATGGGTGCCTTCCATTCTGTTTCATTTTCCTTCACCACATTTCATTGTCTGTTTCATCCTTGGCTCTTTTCATCACCATTGCACGGATCGATGCAAGTATAGAAGCTCCTCCTTGAATAAAAAGGCTTTCTCTTACTGAAGGATTCTTCTTGGCGGATGTTGTGAGCTACAAGCTGACCGGGTGAAAGTTTAATTAGAATGAATGCATATTTCATGACCTTAGATGAATGCTTATTTCACGCAACGATGAGTGGTTGCTCGTTTAACGCATAGGTTTCCTGGTCTGTGGTTGGTCAAACAATACCACCTTCTTTAAGATGGAGCCCTGGCTAATAAAAACAATTAAGGAATTTTTTTTAACCAATTGTGTTAAATAAGTATGCATTAAGATTTTATTCATTGAGCTTGATTGGAAAAAATGTTATGTTTATCTAATACAATTATCGTCTGGAAGTGTACATTGAAATAATTAGAAGTTCATTTTGATATAAGTGAGACCTATTGTTGCAGATTTTGTGTTACCATCAGTTTTAAATTTTTTGTCGTAAATCATTCTAAATTAATCTATTTTATTTAAATCATTAAAAGCGTTTTTCATTAATAAAGATAATTGATTGTGTCAAAACGTGGTTAAAAAAATATCATGTTTATAAACTTCATAACTTCGTAAATAATACAGCTGATTATGTAATTATTGGCTTACACCATCATAATTCCCATTTGCTGTTCTTCATTCTTTACGCATTATTAAATTATACATGACTTGAAAAATCTAATCACAATGATAATGAAATATAAAGTTCAAAGAAAGACGTTTGTTTGAAAATAATTATATTTGACTTATTTATGAATTATGTTGTAAGAGTTTTGACATGAAAATTTCTCAAGCATTGGGAAATTAATGGAAAGCAACAAACGTGATTGTCTGAAATAAACATTGTTTAGCTAAACAAATATAATAATATGAGCAAATAAATAAAGGAAACAAATAGTAGTATGCTTTAACTATTAATTTTAAAATTTCGCACTATTTTATGTACTTTACTTTTGTTATTGGGAGCTTTTTCATATTTTTAATACTAAAATATTAAATACTGATTAGCATTGGGAGAAATGTGCAATGAAATTAAAAATTATAAGTACACAGCATGAAATACATGTTATATTGATTCGGTGTTTAAGAAATAGTTTAATTCCAGTTAACTATTTTTCGAATGCACTATTTTCTGATTTTTATATCAGTGCGGAAAAATCTAGAAATAAATATGGTTGTGGTGTAGTACCTAACTACACCATAAACATAGTTCTGCATATAGCATCTATTTCATTGATTAGAACTAACAAGCACTAAACAAAAAATTTAAGAGAATTTCTATTCATAAATTAAATGTGAAATTTATGAAATATATATTTATAAATTCTTTAAATTTATATTTGAAATGATTTATAAAAATCTCTTTAAAACAATTTTTTTTTTAGATATACACAAAAGTTTTTGTGTAGCTTGATTTTGAAATTTTTATAAGATATGTAGTTTCACTTTACAATAGAAGAATTTTTTGTGTATTTTCGATATTGAATGATATAATATATTGCTTACATTTTATCATTATTATTAAATCTTTTTTACTGACGCTCTTAAATCTATAACATTTTGCAATTTCATGAAAAAAAATTATTTAACAGAATTAGCAGAATTAGATGTCACATATCCTACACACGCAGTATTGAAAAATAAGTTATTTAACTATAGTCAGTTGGATTGCGGGAATATATATATATATAGCTTGTTACCTTGAATGACCGAAATCATAGGAATGTCGACTTTCACTGGTGAATGTCAACAATCACATAGTCGCTTTAATCAATGTCCAAATACTTATTATACCGATTTAATATTAATTTAATCGTTGATATTATTACATTTATTCGATATTTTAATATCTGCTGAGGGTTGATTAGGAGAAGCATCAAAGTTCGGAATACCGAATAAATGAATACTTGGCAGTGGTACTTAATTAGGCCTAGTATATATTTCGTACATTTACTAAAGCGACTATGTGATTTTCAACATCCATCGGTNATAAATATATATATATTGAGAGAGAGAGTTTTTTTTTATTTACAATTCAATTTAAATACACTAAACTTTTTAGCTTTAGCAATAAGGATAAATATTAATTTTATTAATTTTATAACAATGAACGCCCAATATCAGATTTCTCTAAGATGTCAATATTTGTACCCTTCTCATAAACAATTATCTAATTTAGTTTCTTTTAGTTAATTTAGATTTTTTTAGTTAATGCAGTTTTTTTCCTGCTTAATGTAGTTTTTTTGGTAAATTTAGTTTTTTTTATTGTTAATAATCTTCTTAAAAAGTAAATAGTTTAATGTAAATGTTAAAATTTCCTATTTTTATCGAAGACACATTCTAGTATGGATGAAAAATAAATTGTAAAATGAGTGAATGAATTCACAAATGAATCGAGTTATTAACAATATTTATTTTTCTTTTCAGGGCAGTGGAAGACCACATTCAGGAGGTAAATCAATTCCTGCAAACTTTTTTAATTGTATTCATAGATTATTCGAAAATTATTCGATTCAATTATTCGAAAATATTTCCAAAAATTATGTGACAATTTATTTAAAAAATGTGTAGAATACGAATAATCTAAAAAACTACTAAAACAGAGAAGAAACAACTGAATTTAAGAAAAATTTTAATTACAAATAACCAAGATTTTTTTAAAAGTTAACATCCATATTAAATGAAGTTAGTATGGAAGTTTTTTAAACTTTTCTATGTTTCATATTATAATCGTCGTTGAACAGTCGACCCAATTCTTGGGTTTACGACTACCAATGTTCAACTCCGTAGGCTTTTGAACCTAATCCTGAAGACAAGTGAACTCCAGGATCAAGTACTGGGAGAAATTTAGATACGTGGAGGACTTTTTGATGGAGATAACCCGCATTTGCGTTACATTTAGAAGAAGACCACGATAACTTCCCTCTGTTAGCCTAACGGCAAAGGGACTCATACCAATGATCCTTCTACCACTGAGGATATTTCACGTTAGCATTGTGGTTTGTACAAGCCAGATGTGAAGTTCGTATCGACCAGCCATCACTGTGATTCGAACCCGGTTCACTTCATTTGAAGGCGAACGCTCTATCCCCTGAACCATCACTGCTCTATTCAAGTATATAAAAAAACTTTTAAAACAGATATTTGGATTTCTTTTATATTTAAAAACGTTCTGTTTTGTTGTTATTTCAGATCATCATCATGAGGTCGGCATGTCCGAGTGTGATGCTCTTGTCCGTGGTCAAGAGGGATGGATATTTACTCCAAATTATCCTTCAGATTATGACAATCACAGGACGTGCGACTATGTGGTACAGAGACTGACACCGGACACATGTAAAGTGGAAATGACCCTCAATGACTTCGATCTGGAGGAGAGTGACCACTGCCTGTCTGACTATTTGGACCTGAGGGACGGACAGCAAGGAGTACTTTGTGGTACTCTGGCATCCGGAACAAAAAGTAAGTTAAAAGTTATGCCATTTTTAAAGGACTGCTTAATTGTAAGAATACTTTTTATAATATTAACAATACTAGACACTATTAGCTCTTAACATAAAACATTTTTTTCCAAATAGTAAAAAGGAAAAAAAAAAAGACTAGAAACAGTGCACTGTCGGAGACATAAATTATTGCACATACAACGATGCAAATGCACCAAACTTCACTCTTGTGAATAAAACCTAAAACGATCCATACAAGCAAAACCTCGCATTAGCAATATTATGCAACATTATTACATCACGGATCATTAAAAACATGATAGTATGCATATCAATTATAAAATTTAAATGAAATTAAATATAATTTAGAATTTTTTTTGATAAATAATTATAATAAAATAAATTATTAGTTTTAACAAAATTTTGTATAATGAATATAAAAATAATAATTTTAATTTTTAAAAATTCTTTGAATGATAATCTTTAATATTAATATAATAATAATTATAATCTTTAATAACAAGAAAATGTTTAAAAAAAACATTATAACTCATTATTTTTAATACACATTATATTAAATAATTTAATTGCATACTTTTACAATATCTAATTTTTAATAAGAAGCTTTACTTTAATAAGAAGCTTAGGTCAACACTTCAACATTTTATTTAAAAGTTCTAACATTGTCAAACATTTTATTTAAAAGTTAATAAATTTATTCCTTCTTCATTACAACAAGAATTGCCTAATTGTAATAATTGTGTTTTTGCAGAGCAACTTCAATTTCGGTCAGGACAATACACGATGACTTTAAGGTTTAAAACAGACAAGGAAACAACTCGTAAAGGATTCATGATACAGTTAAAGCAGATTCCAAGTTCGTGCGGCGCTTCTACAATCCCAAGTAAGAATTAATTTCTGCGTGTATATATTTATNTTTCCTGATTTGTCAAGGATAATACCTTATATATACCTTTCACCGGTGAATGGTAACAATCACATAGTCGCTTTGATGAATGTCCGAATTATTTGTTATTTTCGATTTGATATTAATTTATTCATTGATATTATATTAATTCGATGTTGTAATATCTGCTAAAGATAGATTATGAGAAACGTCAGTGTTAGAAGTACCGGTTAAATGCATACTGGGCTGCGGCACTTGACCTTGAAAGAACATTGATGTACTACAGCATACCGAACAAATTTTAGTATTCTATCAGAACAAAATTATAAAATGTATCCAGCAATTTTATCCAATCTTTGAATTATATTAAATGTTTCAGGAAATGCTTGAAATCAGTTCAAAATTTGAAATATACCCTACAAATATATCATCTTGTAATTATAAAATATGTCCTTTTTAACGAAATCCCACAGCTTATAATCAATGCAAAATTATAAGATCTATCCAACGAGTACATAATCTTGGAATTATAAAATATTTTCAGCAATTTCTTGAGGAAATCTAAATGCGTGTAATCAGTAGGAAATTATAAAATCTCCAATTTTTCAGGAAATCCAAATGCATGCAATCAGTACAAAATTATAAAATCTCCAATTATTTTTGTAAGACATCCAAAATTGCTTTCACTCAATGCAAAATTATAAAGTCTCCAGTTATTCTTGTAAGATATCCAAAAGTGCTTGCAATCAGTACAAAATTATCAAATCTCCAATTATTTTTTTTCAGGAAATCCAAATGCTTGCAATCAGTACATCGACACATTCACCAGCAGCCTCACTTCTCCGGGATATCCTCGAGGATATCCTTCCAACCTCCGATGTGCCTTCACCATCAGGAGAGCCGATTCCAGAATCTGCAAAATACTCTTGGAAATTCGATTGTTAGACTTTGGTCGACACACTGGGGGACCTTGCAGAGGAGACTATTTGGAATTTCCTGATTTGTCAAGGATATGCGTGGGATATCCGTCCAGGAGTAAGTAAAAATTCACTCAGTGATTTTTCCGAATAATTTCTTAAAAGTTCCAGAAAAGTTCGTCAGCTCTTTTGACCAAACTGTTGGGACTATATTTCCCATGTTGGGACCAGGAACTGAAATCCATCGAAAAAAAAATGTATGTTTCATGTATCCAAATTCAAATAAATTACGCTTATGTGTCTGATTTTATATCTTAAAATATCGTCACCCTGCACCGATAAGTTTGTATATTTGAGGCCACCCTTTGAAATCATTAAAAAGTCCTCTTACGTGAAGGTTCAATCACTGAATCAAAAGATTGTTTAGCTTGTTCTGTTTTCCCCCCCTTTTTTTTGTAATTCTATAGAGGACATTTTGGGAGATTCATCCACTTTTAGATGAACCTGGATTTCAGCCCCCACCTCTCTAAGTGACTGAATCTTTGATGGGTGAGATAATGATAAGGGGAGTTAAGGAGGGCTGGTGCAACACCCCTTCGTTTCGGCTTACGAAGAGGTGACAAGACAGCAATTAAGTGTGAGGTTGAAGTAAAGAGTCTTACTTGCTGATAATTTTTTTTTAAATGTCTTGTCAGGTAATCGAAAATAACTATGTCAGCTAAGCGAAAAATCACTTTAATGAACTGGTTTTACGATCCAACAGAAACAGACACCAGCATCCAAACAGAAATAGGAACACTCTTCTGCTACATTTTTGGCTGAGGTCTTGTTTGGCGATGATCTGACAATAAAGAATTACAAGGCAGTTATAATTAGAAGGCAATAAATAATTATGCCTAGTACGCACTCAGAGCATTCAAGATTCGTTCAAGATGATCACTCAAAAACTAATAACAGGGCCTTCAATATTCGGCAGGTAAGGAAGGGGGGGGGAGGAGAAGGAAATTCGCCTAGGTGGAAAAAATGGATGAATATCCCAATTAATCATTAGAAGTATTTAGTTTATTTTTCAAGAATTTTACCGAGATGAGTGTTTTCATTTAAAAAGATGTATTCCCTTTAATTAAGCAGTTTTCTGGTATTTACATGCATTTGCAAGTTAATGCAAAAAAAATACTACTAATAATAAATAAACAAAATATGTTCTTCTATCAAACACCTTAAGTATATCAAAAACAAAACTTCCATTTCTAAGTTTTCCATGCGTAGTAATTAACTTAAGTATTGGTAGATGAATAAAGAAACCTTATTAGCAGGAATTATTGACTTTTTATGTATTTTGTTGCAGAAATTGTGGATTTCCTGAGAGGGAGTGATCTTTTGACATTCAACTTCATCAGTGACGGTTATGGATCGGGAAAAGGTTTCGACATAGAAATTCTACAGGTTCCAGACTCATGTTCTTCTACTCCACCCCCTCAAAGACCTCCCGTAACAGGTATTATGCGCGGTGTTCTCTTGGAACCTCCCTTTATGTTGCTTTATTAGAGTCCACGAATTGGGACAAAAACTATTCACAAACGCCTGTTTAACAATAAGACAGTTCAAATTTATTTTGATAATTTGGTGTGGTTGAATTAGGATAATTTTGGAATGGTAGTTCAGAGACTTTTAATTACGGCGAATGAATATTTTATATATATGAATATTTTATTTATATGAATATTTTATAAAAAAAAAGTTGCGAAACTAGTCGGATACTTTAATAAGAAATCACACTGGTGTAAAAAATTAGGATAATTTGCAGACTGGGTCGATTATCTCTAGAACTACTGGACCGATTTCAATGAAATTCGATGTGTACACACATTAATATAGTAGACCAATTAATCGTTCAGCAACTGTAATACACGCGCATGATCATACTTAACACTCGTTGCAGTCGGAAGGTATGAAATCGCCACAAGAAATGATAAACTGCCTTATTGCAAGTATGAAACCAAGCTGCAAGGCCTGTATAGGGGACCATACCCCCTATTAACCCTTTGTCTATTCTGCAACCTCTGTTTCATACCTTGCATCTCCAACAAGTGTTAAGCACGATCTGCGTATATTGTATTAGAATTGATGAATGGTTATTTGTTTTGTATTGTCTCAATGTACGTACATATCAAATTTCATTGAAATCGGTCCAGTAGTTCAAGAGATAATCGACCCAGTCTCTTCATTTTTTACACCAGTGTTTATATATATTAGAGATAAGATGGGCTTAGCTCGAACACGAGATTGTGTCTGACAAGGGCTTTTCAGCTGACCCCTCTATGTGGTTGTTTGGCTCATTAAGTGAAGTCCTCTATGTTTTTGGCTCATAAAAATAGGCTTTTATAAAATTTCAGAACATTATCAAACTAAACAAAGAAAACAAAAAAAAAAACCTTCCAGATTCAGTTAAGAATAAAAAAAAAGTTTAAGAACTTTCATCTGTAGGCAATTAAAAATATTACATCAATAAAAATTCTGATAATTAGGAATATTACCTGTAACTGCACTTTTTCTCGTCGCAAATTTTACTTTGGGTCGTCGTAAATTACTATAATTTGACATTTTCGTAATTATTATTATATGGCATCAAATTTCGGATTCGTGCTGACCAAATTTAAATTCTATCTATTTCATATTCCGATGAAATCTAAGCATGTAAAAGTGAGATCAAATCCATATCTAATATGATCTAATAATTGTAATTGATGTTGTTATTGACAACAACTGATATAATACATGAAAACAGCTACCTGCTTCCAATTTATTTGGCGCTTTTGGTGAATCTGCCCCGAGTTTTTATTTAGATGCAGTGCATTTATCTCTTAGGTCCTGGTGAGCAGTGCGACCAGGAGGTGACATCAGTCACTGGTCACTTCACATCCCCGAGGTTCCCGAATTCTTACGGTTCCAGTGAGAGGTGCAGGTACACCCTTAGGAAAGTGGATCCCTCTGTGTGCAGCGTTGAACTCGACTTCAGGAGGTTCGAACTGGAATACAGCGGTCCTCGGTGCAGTAAAGACTACCTCACACTTCCCAGTCTGAATCGATTGTGTGGAAGCATCACTGGAAAACGTGAGTCCATTCATTTAAAAGTTTCTTATTTCATTAAAGGTTTCTAGAAATACCCTATTATTATTTCTTTTAGAATTGATGGAAATGCCGAAGGATAGTGATTACGTCAATCTGTATTTTGTAAGTGACAGTTACGGGCAAGGATTGGGATTTGACATCCACGTGACGCAGCTATTTAATACATGTGAAGGACCCGGATTTCAAGGTAATTTTTTTTTATTATATCCTATAGAGGTTGTTACGCAAAATTCAAGCTTAACACGTTGAATGCCGCGCTAATTTTACATGCATACCTGCCAACTTTCACTCTTTCTGAGAATGAATTTTTCAAGTGGTAATAAAACAATTGCCGAAAAACAACCTTACTCAAAAACATGTTTATATTTTGACTAGATTAAAATTCGCTATCGTTCAGATTAGTATGCTTTTATATATTTGTTGCAATTATTTAAACGTAGGGGTGGTCAAATTCATTTATAATTATTATTATAATTCAAAACTTTTAATGACATGACATGAGTTTCGGTACCACTTTAAATACAAAATTAAAATCTTCCGGAAAAACCGGAGGAGTAGGCAGGTATGTGCATGGATTGCCCGTCTGGCATACAACGGTAAATAATTACAAACTAAATTTGCAAGTATTAGACAGATTTTGCTAGTTTTTTGAAAGGCGTGACACATCTGAAAAAAAAAATGGTGAATTATATAAGCCTACGAATTGTTTAGAAATAATGGTGGACAAAAATCTACAAAAACTAAGAATCACAATTAATAAACTACCTCTGGAAAATATTTATTCGCTGCCCGGAGCAAGTTGGCATCTCTGTGTATATAAATAAAACTATTTTTGTGCGTTCTATATTGCATTAATTTCTTCAAACCAGTTTAGTAAAATAATAATGATAAAAAAATTAAAAATTTACTCGAATTATGTGTTTCTAATAATCTTGGCCTCGCCGGTCACCGGTGACCCCCATGGCATTCAACGTGTTAATATTTCATTGTTCATCCTTATCAAAAAGGAAAACAATAGAGATCGCAAACTAATATTTATCCCAGGAAAAAAAGCTATTGTAATCTGATGCAGGCTTTATTGTAATAATTTTAGAAACTGATGAAAACTATCGATGACGGCAGACATTATAAACATCAAAACAGATTAAATTGGTGACTTAATTAGTTAAATCGTCTTTAAGTTTACCTCCGTTTTCTATTTCATTCAAATTTACCCTTCGGCTTTTTTCCTCGCTTTTTCCCGTATCATCATTTATTATATTTTTTTTACATAACCTTTGTTGAACAGCCGACCCAATTTTTGGGTTTACGATTACGAATAACTAGATTAATTCCGACTCAACCCTCCAGGGGGTCAACCAGGGACATACCGAAGCGCACGCTTAAATATTAACACAAAGGAGGTGTGGTTTGGCGACGAAAAGATGACAACACAGCAATGTCACAGGGCAAAGGTGACCAACACACAGTAATTTGGCCTCTGGGACCCAACAAGATGGATGCACGAGTCTAGGTGCCGCGAGTTACGACTACTCTCTAGCCTTGTAATTTTAATCCAACCTAGAAGACAAGGGAACTTTTGGATCTAGTATTGGGAGAAATTTCCCTTCGTGGAGGACTTTTTGATGGAACTAGCCCGCATTTGCGTCGCATGGAGAGAAAAACTTCAAGAACCTGCCACGGTTAGCCTGGCAACAAGGGGACTCTACCCATGATCCGTCTACCACTGAGGATATCTTCACGTCAGCACTGTGGTCAGTGCAAGACGGATGTGGAATTCGTATCGACGAGCCATCGCTGAGATTGGAACCCGGTTCACCTCATTTGAAGACGAACGCCCTATCTCCTTAGACATTGCGGCTCTCACTTGTTAGATTTCGTAAACATTAATTTGCAACCCCAAATGTGTATACTTTTTGTTCTACTTTCTTATTTAACTGGTCTCTGCGAAACCCTGCCCAAGTCTAAAGTCTTGATGGTTCCATCAAAACATTTTGATGGTTTATGTTAGTTACAGTGCGATTTATGATGGACCATATTTGATGGTCACCATCATCCAGTACTTTTCCTTATACTTTCACGGTTTTTGATGTGCGAACAAACTTCCATCATTCCGTGACGAAAAATATTACTTTAATACTATGATGGTTAACCATCAAGAGAAGTTTTATTTTCATGGACCAACCATCAGTGATGGTCCATGATGACTCCAACTACACATTTCTATGATGGTTTGAGTGGAGTTCTTGTTAGTTCTCAGGAATATACCGCGTCAAAACAATTTGGTTTCTATACGTTGGACCATCATAAATCAGTCTGAATTCCTATATTGGAACGATGGTTGTACATGATCGCTCCAACATTTGATTTCTAAGAAACTATGATGAGAATTTCTGATGGTTTAACATGAAAAAACTAACAAAACAAGTTGCTATTCTTATGTTGGACCATCATGCATCAGTCTGAATTCGTACATTGGAGTGATGGTTTCTTATGTTGGTTACCATCAAGAATAAAATGATTCATGATGGAGCTATTGTTGGTTACCATCAAGATTATGTTGGTCCATCAATAGAAAACCATCAAAAATTTTGACTTGGGATGTATACGTATTACCAATTTTATGATGATGTTTGACTCTTTTTCTGACACAGGTCCGTGCGATCAAGAGGTGGGGACGTACACAGGAAGATTCACATCCCCCGGATATCCTTCCCCCTATCCAAATAACCAGAGATGTTCTTTCAACATCCACAGAGCAGATCCAACTGTTTGTTCGGTAGAGCTCACTTTCCAGACATTCGATGTAGAGTTCTCTAGTAATCAGTGCTCCAAGGATTTCCTCATGATGCCCGATCGCACACGCTTATGCGGCACAACATCTGGGACTCGTAAGTTAAAATAACACTTTAATATCCTCTGTTATTCGTAAAAGTATACCCAATTTCAAAATTGAATAATTGAAGTCAAATAATCCGTATGTTATCAGTGAAAGTCTTCTTACGCAGTTGTTATAATAAACATATGGGACTCGTAAGTTAAAATAACACTTCAATATCATCCGATGTTATCCGCATAAGTATACCCAATTTCAAAATCGAATAATTAAAGTTAAATAATTAGAATGTTATCAGTGAAAGTCTTCTTACGCAGTTGTTATAAGCATCTGGGACTCGTAAGTTAAAATAACACTTTAATACCGTCCGATGTTACAGCATCGCCCGCAAAAGTAAACCCAATTTCAAAATTGAATAGTTGAAGTCAAATAATCCGTATGTTATCAGTGAAAGTCTTCTTACGCAGTTGTTATAAACATCTGGGACTCGTAAGTTAAAATAACACTTTAATATCCTCTGTTATCCGCAAAAGTATACCCAATTTCAAAATCGAATAATTAAAGTTTAATAATTAGTATGTTATCAGTGAAAGTCTTCTTACGCAGTTGTTATAAACATCTGGGACTCGTAAGTTAAAATAACACTTTAATATCCTCTGTTATCCGCAAAAGTATACCCAATTTCAAAATCGAATAATTAAAGTTTAATAATTAGTATGTTATCAGTGAAAGTCTTCTTACGCAGTTGTTATAAACATCTGGGACTCGTAAGTTAAAATAACACTTTAATATCCTCTGTTATCCGCAAAAGTATACCCAATTTCAAAATCGAATAATTAAAGTTTAATAATTAGTATGTTATCAGTGAAAGTCTTCTTACGCAGTTGTTATAAACATCTGGGACTCGTAAGTTAAAATAACACTTTAATATCCTCTGTTATCCGCAAAAGTATACCCAATTTCAAAATCGAATAATTAAAGTTTAATAATTAGTATGTTATCAGTGAAAGTCTTCTTACGCAGTTGTTATAAACATCTGGGACTCGTAAGTTAAAATAACACTTTAATATCCTCTGTTATCCGCAAAAGTATACCCAATTTCAAAATCGAATAATTAAAGTTTAATAATTAGTATGTTATCAGTGAAAGTCTTCTTACGCAGTTGTTATAAACATCTGGGACTCGTAAGTTAAAATAACACTTTAATATCCTCTGTTATCCGCAAAAGTATACCCAATTTCAAAATCGAATAATTAAAGTTTAATAATTAGTATGTTATCAGTGAAAGTCTTCTTACGCAGTTGTTATAAACATCTGGGACTCGTAAGTTAAAATAACACTTTAATATCNAACTGTTCTACCGTAAAGTGCTCGACTTCGCGTGCAGGTCGTCGGGCTACCGAAGCGGGGGTGCCATCCCCTCCGCAGAGGATCAAAATTGTAATGGCATGTCTTCGGATCATCCTCAGGGATGTTTCCCAGACCGTCGCCAATAGCCCATTGTGAAGCTCTAGTGCGACGTAAATGAACAACAACAACAAAAACTTATAAGAGAGAAGCTAAAAAGCGTTTAATAATAATACTAAATCTGGTCTTATCTAGGACCATATTTTATAATTTAATAACTGTCATTGAACAGCCGACCCATTTTTGGGCTCACAACTGCTATTGTTCAACTCCGTAGCTTTGCAATTTTAAACTTAATCCAGAAAACAACGGAGCTCCTCGATCAAGTATTGGGAGAAATTTGCCTTCAAGGAGGAATTTTTGATAGAATTATACCGCATTTAAAGTACATGGATCAGATGGCACTTTCTATAAAGGATCATCATGTTCAGAAAGTACATGGAGTGAAAAACCACGAAAAGCTCCCATGGTTAGCCTGATTACAAAGGGACTCTAACTCATGATCCATCTACCAATGAGGATATTTTTTACGCCAGTACTGTGGTTGGTGCAAGCCGGGTGTGGAATTGGTAGCGAACAGCCATCGCTGAGATTCGAACCTGGGTCACCTAATAGGAAGGCGAACGCTCTATCTTCTGAGCATCCACGGCTCTTACTTAGGACCATAATTATGAAGAGTGTAGAAACGTTTGTTTATTTATTTTATAGGTAAGCATATATTTTCTTGTGTGCTCAATTAAGACAGATAGCACATTACAGAGAAACACAGCACGAAAAAACATCCAAAGTGACGGCAGGATTCGAACCCGATACTAGCATATTCGCTTGTGTGATAAATTACATAAGTACGGCTTGTAAGCCTTTGTCATCTAGAAAAAACAGATATTATTTATTGTTTATTGAGGCAGATAGGTACTTTGATTTCATCACACTAGAGCTACACCTCTATTGTGGAAGGTTTGGGAAACACGATGGGCTATTGGCGACGGTCTGGGAAACACCCCTGAGGATGATCCGAAGACATGCCATCGCAATTTTGATCCTCTGCAGAGAGAATGACTCATCCGCTTTGGCAGCCCGACGACCTGCGAGTGAAGTCGAGCACTTGACGGCAGAACAGTTTAACGAGGACCAATACCGCATACCTTCGGTCCCTACGCAGGTTGATCCAAGTGGTCACCCACCCGTTTACGCACGGCAGCCAGTGATGCTTGACTTCGGTGTTCTACTAAGAACCGTGTCTGTGGGACCAAGCACTTAAAGTGGGTTCTTTCTATGATATGTAAATTGTTTTGTTTTCATTCGAAAAAGACACACAAGCCTGTACATTTAGGAATAATATAGCCAAAGTGACCGAATTTTTCAACTCGTTGGATGTTTATTTTAGAGCCAGTATACTATTCGCTTACAAATGCTGATATTCTTTTTTGTTTACTTCGATGTCCCATAGTCACTTGCGATCTCACGTCCAACCAAGCACTTTAAGAATTTTACTACTTTGAAATACTTATGCATAACAATTTCATTGTAGAACTTTACAAAGAATATAGCTTCTACTACGACCGTTCCTAAGTTTAAAAATTTTAAAAGCTCAAGCGCTAATAGGTAACTAGCTGGAGACAAGGCTATCTGTAATTGTAGCAAATTCTTACTCCAAATTGTCTGAATTATGTCACAATGTCAAAAAAATTCTCAAAATTGAGCAAATATTTTTTATTTTAGATCATGTGACATAGTTAAAATACAGTCGGACTTCTATTTAACGAACTTCCATTTTACGAATTTCTCTATTTTGCGATTTTTTTTTTCGAAGAACCAAGAACATTTGGAAATTTCTTCGTAAAATAATTTCCAAATAGCGAAGTGAATTTTCTATTTAATGAACTTTTCTTTTAGATCTCTATTTCCCAAAATATTTCAGAACATTTCAAATTTTAACGCATTTTATGGAGGAAATTGATTTTTGATTTGATTTGGCCTTGAATTGATTTTTGCAGCCACCAATTCCTTTCCCTTTTTGTTTGCATTTCAAACAAATATCTCAGGCAAAACGGATATTATCAGTAGTAATTAAACTTAAGAACGCATGCGGTAATGTATGTTTAAAATTACATTTATAATAAATGCAGCAATAATTGTATACATAAATTTACCTTTTTTTTTTTAGTTGAGAATGTATGTAGCATGATAGTGTAACACTTGATAATGTTTTGCTCTATATTCTTGCTTTCCATGCAGATTACTTTGATGGTTAAAATTTATAAAATAAATAGTAGATACTAGTTTACGAGATGAAGGTGTATCAATTGCTATTTTAATTATGTCTAGTGTTTATGTATTTAAAACCTGTTTTGCGTTGTTCAAGTATTTCAAACGGTGATTTTCTATTTAGCAAATTTTCCATTTAACGACCTTATTATTGAGATTTAGCGACTTCGTTAAATAAAGATATCACCGTACTTCCCAAACAAATATAACTGAATTTGAAAACGCCATGTACTTATTACTGGGTATAGGCGAAGAACTTATTTTGAAACAGTAATCATACATTTTTGAATAAAATGCATTGTTTCAAAATGACCCATCATGTATAGGGGAGAGTAGGGTCAATTGTAACAGGGCACGATTGTAACAGAGCAAAAATTTCGAGTATCGGGTTCTAGATTTGGTTCCTAGGTGGCGCACAAGGTGTATTTAATAAATCTACATGTACACCCCTGCTGGCAACCATTTTTATGTACTTTTGAAAGAGTTACATCACAAAAGATATTTTCACGCTACGTAAGTACTTTTTTTGGTATTAGAATATTATATTGTAACAAAGTAATTTTGTTTAAACAAATAAAAATTAGTAACCGAATATGTAAGTGGACACCTTAATTAACATTTCAATAAAAAAAAGATTAGTTTTGCTAATTAACTAGCATTGTTTTTAACAAATGAAGCTGAAATGGCGTCTTGGGGACAATTGTAACAATAAGTAAAGGGACGATTGTAACAGCTGAAAATAAATAATCTTATGTTTACAAACCATTACTTAACTCTTTAAGAACCACCAATAGTTTCCTATATCATTTATATTATGTTGCATGTGCATTATTTTATTTGTCACCTTTCACAGCATAAATTAAAATTTTTAACCCCTTAAAGTTAAAAGTTTAACCCTTTAGGTCTCTGCTCATTATTATTTTTACTCCTAAAATATCACTACTATTTTGATCAATAAAAAAATATATCACAACTATGATAATATGTATAATTAACTATGTTTTAGTTGAATTTATGAACTGTTACAATTGACCCCGTAAGTGGGGACAATTGTAACAAGTGCACGACTGTCAAAAATTGTTAATAACTAATATAATAACATTTAAAATAAGGTATTTATTTTTTTTCTAGTGGAGGATAGTCTACTTTACTCGTCTGTCAATTAATAATAATAATATATGGGATTTTTTGTTAGTTAAAAATAGTTAAGTAAAAAACGTTACAATTGACCCCACTCTCCCCTACTCATTTTGAGTAATTTGTTGTTTAAATGAGAGTAGGCATGGTCTCAAAAATGACACAATATGTATACTCATTTTGTATAATCATTTGTTGCTTAAATGAGAGTAGGCTTAGTCTCAAAATTGAGACATCATATTCTCATTTTTTATTCATTTGTTGTTTCTATGAGCATATTTAGATAAATAAATTTTTACAATTATTTAATAAAGGTCGTTGAAATTCTCAATTGTAAGGTGTACAAGTTATTATTTTATTTTGAGCTACAATTGAATATGAATGATATTTTACTTAATTTAAAATGACGAAATTTCCAATTTGAACAAAATCTTGCAAATAATTTTGGAGAAATATAAGTTTCAAAACATGGTTGTTCGAATTTTTCCATCTCAATTCAGCAAATTTCGCTCAAATTTTGAATTTTGTCATTACAGAATCACATATTTTAACATTATAAAAATTTGTTTTTCGTACGTTTTACCATTCTTTATTAAATTAAACATTCATTAATTATATAAAATTTTAATGATCAAAAATTTTTTAACGCGAATTAATTCGAATAAATTAATTTTGTGTGTAAATTTCTTTCTATCGTATGAACGTTTTCAAGTTTCAGCGAACTAATCAAAATTTTTCGTGCTGAAGTTTCACGTCACGTTCACATCTGTTAAATATTGATAGTAATTTTTAATATACAGATTTTTTTTAATATTTTGGGTTAAAAAATATTAAATATTAGTTTGAATGATGTTCATTCATTTAGTAAAAAGATGCAAGGGTTATTTTTGCTCAATTTGTAGAGATAAACTCATAATTTCTAGGTATTATTCCTTTTAGTAGTGTGATCTCAAACTATGAATCAAAACATATATATAGTTGACAAAAGAAAGTATTAGCACACTACGCTTATTTGAAATTCTTACAGAACAAATCAACCAATCTAATCTGAAATATGATTTTATTTCCCTTAATCATAGTAAAAAGTAAAGTAAAAGGAAATAAAAAGTCCCCTTGCTTTAACAGTATTTCAGATAGAAAAATATTTTTTTACCAAAAAAGTATTAGGATACCTTGAGAAACAAATAATAATATTTTGCATTAATGGTGATTTGATTTTTAATGACTGCTTCTAATCTTCGTGGCATGGATTCCTCTAAAACTCTTTGGTTCAGCTGAATTTTAACTGTTTTCCAATAACCCGATGCATTTTTCCTATTACCTTTTCTCGAATGGAGCCTGGAATTTCACAATTCTGATGACTCATAATTATTGAATACAGAAATTAAAAATAACAATGAACATGACTCAAGTCCTAGAACAAGCTCGGAATCGGAAAACTCACCATAATTTTCACGAAAAATATGAGCTATGACCCATTGGCAAAATGAGTGTTGTTTCGGGTTTGATGGCTTGCCCACCTTATTTGGACGCCATCACACTTTTCAACTGTGATCAAGAGTAGTGGTAAACAGTGCACATACGTTGCTATGTTTGATAATTTTCTTAGAATTTTTTTTTCACTAGCAGACATTTTTAATGTATTGACATAATCATAATTTAAATTATTTTTTATATTCTTTTTATTATTAACTTATAATTACTGCCTTGACTGTGATTTTAATATAAATATGAATACTGATGAAGGAAGAGTATTTTGTGAGGTCTTGAAACACGTATATAGGCATGTTTTGAAAGAGAAAAAACATCAATGGAAACAGTTTTTGCAACCCATGATTTGAAATGTTATGGCTTTTATCGGAGTCAATCCAGAAAAGGAAAAAAGCATTTAACCCATGAGTAACCAGTGATTGTAACTTTTCACAACTTCGATCTCAACTATTTTTCAAAATTAACCCTGTTTTCAAAATGTTGTTGTCTTTTGCAGATTGTGGAGGAGAAATAACGAGTTCTGCCGGACGCATCACCAGTCCAGGATATCCCAGATATTACACTTCGGGATTGAGATGCCAGTACAAGATCAGGAGGTCGGAACCGAGTACTTGCACAGTTGAACTGGATTTCAGAGTCTTCGATGTGGCAGTCAGTCCCGGTTGCAGTGAAGATTATCTGGAGATGCCAGACAGGACAAGACTCTGTGGCAGCCAGTCATCGCCAAGTAAGTACCTTTTTATTAAATCTGAATATGGCTCGAAAACACTTTTATTTTCCTTCTTTTGTGTCCATAGACTTGTATCAATTGGTATCGTTTACTTGAATAGGTACATGTTGCTAACCGCTATGTATGTTACCGCTATATATGTTACCCATATATATGTTACCACTATATATGTTACCGATATATATGTTACTGCTATGTATGTTACCACCATTTTTTATTTTATTTTATAACCGTCATTGAAGAACTGACCCAATTTTTGGGTTTACGACTTCTAATGTTAAACTCCATAGATTTGTAATTTTTAACCCAATCCAGAAGACAAGGAAACTCCTGAATCAAATATTGAGAGAAATTTGCCTTCATGGCGGACTTTTTAATGGAACTAACCTTCATTTGCATTACATGGAGAGGAAGACCACGAGAACCTCCCACGGCTATCCTGATGGCAAGGGGACTTTAACCAATGATGTGTCTACCACTGAGAATATTTCACGTCAGCACTGTGGTCGGTGAGAATGCAGAATTCGTATCGACCGGCCATCGCCAGATTCGAACCCAGTTCGCCTCATTTTAAGGCGAAAGCTCTAACCCCTGAACCATCCCTGCTCTGTGATACCACTATATTTGTTACCGCTATACATGTTACCCATATATATGTTACCACTATATATGTTACCGATATATAGTTACCGCTATGTATGTTACAGCTATATGGTTACAGCTATGTATGTTACCGCTATATAGTTACAGCTATATATGTTACCGCTATATAGTTACCGCTATATATGTTACCGCTGATGTACCACAAACATGGTCTGCAAATAATCTAGATAATGTGTTTAAAGTGCATCGGTTTAAAGTGCAAAAAGCAGTTTCATTATCTATGTAATCTGTTTATTAGTCATTCGTTAAAGTGTCATCTTTGCTGAAACGCTTAAATCAACATAATACTATTTATTTAATTGACGATGTCTAAAGAATCAAGTTAACACAAACAATCAGCTTATAGAATCAATCAATGAAATAATTTATATTGCAAGGAATCAAACGGTTTACAGTTAAATGAGAATTATGGTAGATACATTAATTATAGTTATATGAAAATATTATTACAAGAAAATGAGACATACAAACTCAGAAACCATGAAAGTGCACTTTATCTAAGTAAAAAAGCGGTCATTCTTGATTTCGCACTTTAGCGGTACAAATCTGTTACTCTGCTGATTAGCGTGCACATTAACGACATTCCTTTTTTTAGCGGTACGATAAATCTAAATATTTTTTTTTTCTTTCCAGAAGCTTTAGATTATTCGGCCATCGGTAGTGACGTCATGACATTCACCTTTGTGACGGATTCCATTGGTGCCGGACGAGGCTTTGACATTGTTGTGAGACAGATTCCGAATTCCTGTAGCATATTACCGCCACCACGTAAGTATGATCTAGTGTTTTTTTTTTTAATGGCCGGGACTTTGATTTATTTCCCATCGGCCTCAGAGAAATGCCAGATTTGCTACAGTCCGTTCACCAGGAGTTGATACTTGGCTCCACCTCCTCTGTCAACGAGTTCAATTCCCCTCGGGAGTAAGACGAGAAACATCTCCGCGCTTAAAATCGCGACAACCCTTAATGTGCTCCAAACGCAAACAGTGAATTCTTTTTCGAACACTTACTTCGCTTTATCATCTACTATTATACCTTTCGTTACTCTAGCTAATTAAATATATTTTAAATTTAAAAACTGCTGTTTTCCCAGTAAATGTCTCAAAAAGGACAAACTATTAACCCAAAAGAGAGAAATAACATCAAATTTATGTAATATTTAATGTTAAAAAATACACATAAATATTGTGAAATAAATATTTTTGTCATACGATCGACAAATAGACCCTTGTTGAGGATTGTTCCCATCCTTCTCCCTAAAATAGCGAAATAGTATCGTCGGATACCACGTGATGAAGGCGGAGCCAAGTGCCAACTCCTGCTGAACGAACTATACTCTCTTATCGGTACCCAGTGGGGCACCTGTGGCTAAACCACGGCGGTGGAGTATCGTCGCCCATGTCATACCACCACAAACCCGTTTATAACGTGGGTCCCATTCACACAGAAGAAAGGACATAGAACACACACAGAGAGAGAAAGTTACATCAATTCCGACAGTGGTTTCCAACCTTCAACAAATGGCCCCGTAGTCTAGTACAGTAACCACAAGGCCAGAAATCGGCGTATGATCTAGTGTAACATTCATAAATTACAGAATGTTTGAAAGGAACGATAACAACTTAGTAGGGATGCTTCATAAGGCAACTTTCGAAACAAGGTGAGAACTATTAGCTGAGAAACACAACAATTCATATTTGTGTGTGTGAACGTGGAACACTCGGTGATCCGCGTTCGGCTGACGATACAACCAGAATATCTGCTCCTGCACCCTCCAAGGCCAAGAAAACTAGGATTGGCACAGTAGGCCATGGCCCTCCATCGGCTATCGAGCAGCTGAGTTTAGTTTCAGTTTTAAATAATAATAACGCATAATATACTTCAAGTTAAACTCGTTTTTGATCAAATGGAGCTCTAAGCTTGTAACAAAGCTTACTACTGATTGTTTTTATATTTTAATTTTATAACCGTCGAACAGCCGATCCAACGTTGGGTTTACGACTANATCGTCGGATACCACGTGATGAAGGCGGAGCCAAGTGCCAACTCCTGCTGAACGAACTATACTCTCATATCGGTACACAGTGGGGCACCTGTGGCTAAACCACGGCGGTGGAGTATCGTCGCCCATGTCATACCACCACAAACCCGTTTATAAAGTGGGTCCCATTCACACAGAAGAAAGGACATAGAACACACACAGAGAGAGAAAGTTACATCAATTCCGACAGTGGTTTCCAACCTTCAGCAAATGGCCCCGTAGTCTAGTACAGTAACCACAAGGCCAGAAATCGGCGTATGATCTAGTGTAACATTCATAAATTACAGAATGTTTGAAAGGAACGATAACAAATTAGTAGGGATGCTTCATAAGGCAACTTTCGAAACAAGGTGAGAACTTAGCTGAGAAACACAACAATTCATATTTGTGTGTGTGAACGTGGAACACTCGATGATCCGCGTTCGGCTGATTAGTAGGCCACTTCTGATTAGTAGGCCATGGCCCTCCATCGGCTGTAGAGCAGATGAGTTTAGTTTTAGTTTTAAATAATAATAACGCATAATATACTTCAAGTTAAACTCGTTTCTGATCAAATGGAGCTCTAAGCTTGCAACAAAGCTTACTAATGATTGTTTTTTTTTATTTTAATTTAATAACAGTCGTTGAACAGCCAATCCAACGTTGGGTTTACGACTACTAATGTTCTACTCCGTTTCTTTGTAATTTTGAACCTAATTCAGAAAACAAGGGAACTCCTGGATCAAGTATTGGGAGAAATTCGCCTTCGTGGAGGACTTTTTGATAGAACTAAACCGCATTTGATTTACACGGTTGAAGAAAACCACAAAAACCTCCTATGGTTAGCCTGATTACAGGAGGACTCTAACCCATGATACATCTACCAATGAGGATATTTTAAGTAAACACTGTGGTCGGTGCAAGCCGGATGCTGAATTCGTATCCCAGCCATCTCTGGGATTCGATCCCGGTTCACCTCATTGGAAGGCGAGCACTCTATTCCCTGAGCCATCGCGGCTCACTACTAATCGTGTGATAAAAATTCATTTTCGATTATCTCTCTCGAACGAACTTATTACAATTTCGGAAGATTTCAAAGGTATAAAATTGGCTATCACTGCCTGAATTTCAGCACAAACAGAAGAGAGAGAAACTCTTAATATTTTCAACAATTATGTTTTCAGCTTCCTGCGATGTGACCGTAACGGAAGAAAGATCCATTATCCACAGTCCGGGCTATCCAGACGATTATCCAGGAGACGCCTTGTGTGTCTATACGGTCAAGAAGTTAGACAGTGGAGTGTGTCAAGCTCAAGTGGAGTTTTTGGACTTTGATCTAGAACCAGATTCTGACTGTTCTGCAGATTTCATTCAATTGGAGAAGAACGGGAACAGGTATTGCGGAGTGAGACCACCTCCACCTACAGGTATTATAAACACTCCCCAATGTACTATACTTTTACCAATAATTCGTTATTTATCAATATTCGTTCGTATTAACGAAAAAAATCCTTCAATAAAAGTTCTTTTTAACAGTCCTGACGTTCGAAGGTGAAATTCTAAGAATGGTATTCAGATCTGATTCTGTGAGTCATCGAAGAGGATTTGAAGCCAGAATTCGCCAACTTCGAAATTCCTGCTATAGACCCATAGGTGATTTTTTTTATTTACCCATCTATTGTTAAAACCTTATATGCTTGTAAAATCATATCTGTCCATCAATGTAAAAAGTTCTAATTATGCCTTATTGTTTTGTATATCAATATTGGCTTTGAAAACAACTAAGCGAGTAACATGAAAAAATATTAAGTCAGTTTCTGCTTAGGTTAATAAAGAAAAAATTTGTTTTAGTTACTTTTTATTAAATAGATATGAATAAAAATAAAATAAAATAATGAATAAACTAATAATAACTAATACTAATAATAAATAAACTAATGAATAAAGATTATTTTATTAACGATTGAGGATTTGAACAAGATATAGGGAGAGTGTTAACTAATAGAAGGAATTGAAAAAGGAAGAAAGAAAAATTTTATAATTACTCAATGAAGATCAGGGGTCTGTTTAGAAGAAACTTGGGTCCGTTAACGGATCCTTCACAAAATATCTTTTCATAAAAACGGACCCTTCACAAAATATTTTAACTTAAAAACGGACCCTTCACAAAATGAATTTTCTTTTAATCGGACCCTTCACAAATTTTTTTATCTTCATTATTATTTTGTTAATCGAATAAACCCTTTCCAGGGCAGAAAACAAGAAAGATGGATGTAAACGAATTAAGTTTTGTCTTCGGCAGACGATTCTTCCATTATTCGTCCGAAATTAATATTCTGCGTTCAGCAGT